TTAAATCTTAAGGCCTATTTTACATATATGCGAGTTTAATTTTTGTATAATTCAAAATTATTTTTTGTACAAATTAATTCTGTTAGATTAGAGGAACCACTATTTAATTGTCCTTATTATAAATAAAGTCCTTTAACATAATTTTAAATTAATAAACATCCTAAAATTTTATGTTTTGCATTATTTCCTTCCTCTTCGCAATCGCACAAGGGCGAATCCTGAAGATTAATTTTAAATAAATGTGATTCAACTAATGTATGATTGAATCTTAGTCGACAAATTTTCGATATCACTACCTTATCTAATTATGATTTTTGGAACCAGAGTTTACTGGGAATATCCGGTAGAATACTTTTATAAAACTTGCCTTTCGTTGAATTTTGGTAATCCTCCTTCCAATTGCTTACGATCATAGACTTTGCCCACGCGTTCATATCTTCTTTTAAACATTTATAGTTTGTCTTCTTCCCTTCTTCTATGGCGCTTTTTGCTAGCTCATCTACTTTTTCATTGCCAACTATACCAAAATGAGCTTTAACCCACACAAATTTTACATGTTTCTGAGATAGTTCCAAATTGTGTACCGTTCTTATTATATTCACAATAGTGTTATTAATTTTTGATTTGTCTGTTACATTTTTTATTTTTTCCAAGGCACTTTTACAATCGGAGATAATTACAAATTGGTTATTGTCCAATTCTTGAATATAGTGTAAGGCTTCTAATATGGCTGAGTATGTATGTAGAAAATTTGTCGTTCAATCGGCTTTGCCTTCTTGCGTTGTTGAGTGGATCTCAATAAGCGATACCCACTTGGGATTTTATTTTTGAAGCATCGGTATACAACTGATGATGATATGGAAAAAGTGTTTACATATTATCATCTCTAAACATCAAGTTTCTTATCTTATCTAGATATTCCGAGTAGTTTCTTAAATAGTATACTTTTAGATCCTTATCTACCTCTAAGTGGCTGCTTGTTTTTATTTCTATTTCATTTGAAACAAGTAGGTATTGTGCATAAACTTCTAATATTGTTAACATTGATTTTTTTGCCAATATTTTGTTGGTAGATCAAAATAAATAATTCATGAATCTTATTCAATAATTTACTTTGTTTCTCGTGCAGTTTAAAAATGAATTTAAATGTTAGATATGTTGAATCCTAATAATTTTAAATTTTATTTTGTCATTAATGTCACTTGTAATTTGAGTTGCCTATTAGTAGATTAAAATATATTTGCGCTTATTTTTGAAATCGAATCACGATTGTAGATTTGTACGATAAAAAGTCCTTTGAAAAGGTCAGTACGAAATAAACCGTTTGGAGAACCGGTAACTTTAAATGTGTGCATTAAACCGTTCTTATCAGTAAAATCAAAACAAAACCTGTAGTAGAAAAAAAGCCTGGATCACCCTTGGGTACCGGAATTTACGGAATTAAGACGAGCTCCACGTCACCCTAGATGTTTCTTTTTTATCTCATTTTTTAACTGATATTTAATAGAACAATTTTGAAAGACATACAGTCTTATTTTTATCTGCCTACTGTTTAGGCTATCAACTGTTCCTACTTGCGGGAACGTACATTTTGGTCCTATCGGAGCGCGGATTTGTGTTCTTTCAGATTGTTCTAGGAAGTTATATTATCCTTCCGCTACTAACGTGGATTTATGTGACATAAATACTAACGTCGGACTCACAGTCCGCATATCTTTTTTCATTGAAAAAAGAACGAAAACCATGCTTAACTTAATAATTCTTGGAGAAAATATATAATGTCAGTATATTTACACATTTTGAAGGTAAATTAATGAAATCAAAAAGTCCAGAAAATCTTTAATAAGAAACAAAGCTCAAAATCCTTAAATTTTAAGTCACATAAATCGAGAACATACAAAATAGATAAGACATAACACTTTCAGAAGCAAAAGCAGAATTTCTAACATAAATAAAAAAATTACATTTTGAAAAACGACTAATCTAAAATTAAAAAAATGATTAGGTAACTAAAATCGTCAATCTTCGTCACTTTCACCATCCAAGCATTCACTACACATGTAGTTGGCATGTTCCAAACAAATAGGTTTTTTACAGTATGCACAGCTAAATCTTGTAGGCCTATTTTTTTTTCTGTCACAAAAAACGCAGCGTCGTTTGATGTTTTCGGTTTGGGGTTCGGATAACTTTTCCTGCAGTGGTAAACGTAAAATTTCTCTAAGGCAAAGTCTAATGGTACGTGGTATCCGATTATTAGCAGCTCTTCGTCGTAAGTGTTCGTCTAGTAACTGCATGCCAAGATTCTCCAGAAATATTCTTCGAGGTGTATTATTCGTATATTTTGAATTGCTCTTGAAAATAACGAATGCGTTTATTCCAGCTATATTTAGAAGCATATAAAATATAACCATTGGCCAGCGACGAGTAGCTCTGGCACAATCATAGGCCGCACACATCTTATCCACTGTATCAACCCCACCTGTTGTTTGATTGTAATCAATCATTATTTGTGGTTTTTTAGTTTCTTTGTCTATATTATCTTCATTATGGTGCATGGTTGATAACATGAGAACATTTTTATTTTTTCTGGGTATATAAGATGCTATGATTGCTTTTTCTTGGAATCCAAACATGCTTGTCTTTTCGGGTCGTTTAGCAGGTTGGACAAATTCAAGTGGAAGTTACTTTCTGTTTTTGCTAATGGTACCAAGAATCGTGAGTTTATGATTTGTTGAAAGTGTGTTAGCAACAGCCATGCTGGTAAAGAAGTTGTCCATTGTAATGTTTCTGCTGGTTCCTGAGATAGGGCGACAAAGACGGGAAAGGAGGGACACATTATCAGTTTGAACTTTATAAGGTCCAATGGGCTGTTGCCCAACATAAATTTCCATGTTTACAGTATAAAACATTTTGATACCATATCGGTTGGGCTTGTTTGGCATATACACAAGAAAGTTGCCACCAACATTTCATCCACTGTTGTGAGCTCGGAAATACAAAAGTACTTAGACAAATTAGAATTAAATGTATTATAGATCTCCCGGATCGGTGCTAATTTGTCGTATTTTTGTCTCTCTATTCTAGTATTTTTATTGTCAAAACGTATATATTGCAACAGAAATCTAAACCGTTCTCGAGACATTGTCAAACGAAATATTTCCATGGATGTTCCATTTGTTCTAAATAAATCAGATGCATTCACCCGACTATTTTTTGACATCGAGCATATATAAAGAAACTCTATAAGGGCTTTCAGCTCAGTAATGTCTGTGGGCTTTGCTGATCTGTTGTTCGGATTTACATTGCACATTCCAATGTAGATATTTGTATTATCAACAATAACTTGCAACAATTAATTTGTAAAAAAAAGGCTCCATATCTCTGCTGCAGATTTTAACTCTTTTGCATTCCCCTTTACCCCAGGGAGAAACTTGATAATATTTAGGGCGCTTGTTCGTATCTGTTTATTTCGTGGGTGCTTTCTCCACTTGGTTTCGCCATCTTTTCCAATGTAATATGCAACTTTTTCGTGTCCCACTTCATCCACTATATCATTTGGAAGATCCAAGATGTTGTTTGGGTCATCAATATCTTGCTCAGCATCCGTGTTGCGAGCTTGAATCTCTTCATCATCATCCTGCAAACTCGAGTCGTCGTCTGATGGCTCGATATCAGTCTCAATATCGTCGTGGAGATATTCTTGTTCTTTTTCGTAATCCATTTCCAGCACTGTAATCACATACTTAGGTTTAATAAACTGTAGAAAGCAGAAATTAATTAAAAATATTTACCTTAAAAAAATTAACATTAACACTAACTTGCGGAGTGAGAGTCCGCAAAAGAGCCTAACTCTAACACGCAGCACCCTGCTCTGTTTACCTTTTAACACTAACTTCGAGACGCCAACGGCTACAGCTACTTAGCGGTACAGGAAGGTTATAAACGATTTTTTGAAGCTGTTTAATGAATAGGGAATAGTTCATTTGAATTAAACGGCTAAATTTTATAATTTTAATTCGGGCAAATTTCTTGGGCATTTAATAAATTATTTTCGGTTTGTAGAAAATAAATATTTTTCCATTTCACTGCTTGATTGGAGGTCTTTTGTGCGTTGTTTAACAAGAATTAATTTGGCAATATTTTTGGCTAAGAGTGTATAGCTATATTTAAATTTAGATTTGTAGGTGAATCTTTCGGTTAATTTTACAAATACATTTATTGTAAAAACATGGATGAAAAAATGAGAAAATCCGTTTTTTGTAGACAAGCATCTATTTAAGATTTAGGTATTATTTTAAAATTAAGTATTGATGCGTTAGTAAATCCAAAAACTAAGGGTACTTCGTTTAAAGTTCGATATCAAGAAATTGATGATTTGTTCGAAACATTTATGAAAAATCATACTGCTATTATTGATCAGTTGATGAAAACTGATGGCAGTGACGTGCAGATTGATGCGGAAGAAGTGATTCGTGACGGCTTTGTCTCTGATTATGCTCAAATTAAAGCAAATTTTGCAGATATATTTAAAAAAGATCAACAGCCGGCAAATAATTTGAATTGCACTTTAAATCAAACTTTTCATAATAAACCTAATATAAAGTTACCTAAATTGGAAATTCCTAAATTCTCGGGTGATGTTACATCAGCTATTACATTTTTCGATTTATTTGATGCCTTAGTTCATAGTAATGATCAGATCGAGGATATCAAAAAATTCACATACCTAATTCAATCTTTGGAGGGTGCTCCGTTGCGATTTGCAAAGTCTATTAGTTTAGCTGGGGAAAACTACGAAAAGGCTTATGATAGACTAAAACCAAAATTTTTGAATAATCGATTAAGGGCTATGGCTCATTGGTGGAAAATTGAAGAGGCTCCGAATATAACTGAGAGATGTGCAGATAATTTAAATATGTTAGTCGATACTTTTGCAGAAAATTTGTTTGCGCTTGAAAGTTTAGGCTTCGACATAAACAGTTGGGATTTTATTTTAGTTTTCACATTGTTAAAGAAATTAGACTTAGAGACCAAAGAACGGTTCTTCCTGTATTTCCTGTACTTCCTGTACTTCCTGTACTTCCTGTACTTCCTGTACTTCCTGTACTTCTTGTACTTCGTGTACTTCCTGTACTTCCTGTACTTCCTGTACTTCCTGTACTTCCTGTACTTCCTGTACTTCCTGTACTTCCTGTACTTCCTGTACTTCCTGTACTTCCTGTACTTCCTGTACTTCCTGTACTTCCTGTACTTCCTGTACTTCCTGTACTTCCTGTACGTCCTGTACTTCCTGTACTTCCTGTACTTCCTACTTCCTGTACGTTCTGTACATCCTGTACTTCATGTACTTTCTGTAATTCCTGTACTTCCTGTACTTCCTGTACTTCCTGTACTTCCTGTACTTCCTGTACTTCCTGTACTTCCTGTACTTCCTGTACTTCCTGTACTTCCTGTACTTCCTGTACTTCCTGTACTTCCTGTACTTCCTGTACTTCCTGTACTTCCTGTACTTCCTGTACTTCCTGTACTTCCTGTACTTCCTGTACTTCCTGTACTTCCTGTACTTCCTGTACTTCCTATACTTCCTGTACGTCCCGTACTTCCTATCTACTTCCCGAGTATTGTACAACATACTTCCTCAACAGTTTATCTCTGGGTATCTATTCTTAAAAATCAGGGAGTATAAATTTTGAGGGAAGAATGAAACAAAAATACAAATTTTGTACGGTACAGATAAAGAGGTAAAACCGATTTTCTATTCCCTTGAATTCAAGCATAGCTACCCTGGGCTCTGACACTTTGACAATATATTGATGCGACAGGGCTCTAGTTGATTTTCGTCCGAAAAGTTTAATCGACCACTGTTTGTTTTATTCTTATTGCCCGATTTAACTTTGATTTGTTTTTTGTTTATGTCAAAATAATTGTCCTTTTGGATGATGCTGACAACTCTAAATTTCTGTAGTTAATTAAATTTCTGTAGGTAATTAAATTTCTGTAGCTAATTAAATTTCTGTAGTTGATGGCCTGCCTTCTTTTTTTTCATGTTTAAATTAAGCAACATTGACCTTATGTCAGTGAAATTATAAATTGTGCGTATTAAAATGTCAGTAGGATTTTGTAATTGTTTTTAAGTGTTTTATGTAAAGGTTTTAAAAAAAAATAAATTATTTTGTTAAATGAAATGACTTCACTAGATTTAATTGCAAAAATTTGGTATTTTTGACAATATTCTCTGGTTATTTTTTAGTAATAGAGGATAATCTCCTAAATACAACTAGTTTGTTATAAATACCAGTTGAAATTCGATCTCTAGGTATGAAATCCCCTTTCTATTCAATATATATTTTTATGAGTGTAGGTATTATTCATTGTACATTCTTTGACTGGGAAAACTTTCACGTGCTTACTTAATTTAAAAGGCATCAAAGTCAAACTAAAAACCATTTCCATTTCCATCTATCTATAAACATTAACCTATTTTCTGAGCATCTACCTATCAGCGCAGCGTGTAAACTTTAATGAAACTCCTTCTATGTAAACATGATTGATTTCGATGCCATCAGCCTGAAATAGAGATGCAAATTCCTGATGGTATAATGTTTGATGGAAGTGATAGGAGAGATCCTTGTTTGTGTCTGGCCGGACAACGCAATTTACAAATGAACACTTACGCCACCTGCAGATTGTGTGTAAACATTACGACAGATATGTGTTGTCTTTAGAACTAGTTAAATTTAATTGCTTTATTTTGTTGAAGTATAATAGACCAAAATAAAATTTGTAATTGTATATAAGTACTTTTTTTTCCTAATAGTAATTTGGAATTGTAATTGCAGCAAAATTTGTAGAGGAATTGTACTTTGTAATTATATTATTTAAATTATTACATTTTCTAATTAAAATTAATTTAAATACGTGTTTACGAACTGCACGTGGTATAAAAATAAGAAATTTTTTGTTCACTAGAGCTCGGACTCGGACATATTTCATTTGTTTAAATGCATTTGACAGAAGCGCTGTGACGCGAAAAGAGCCTCAGTGAAGTAGTAAAATTGTTGAACCCAAAATAATAACAGTAAGAGTTGGGTAGATGTAGATACCATAATTTTTAAGACGTATTTTGTATTTATGTTATTATAAACATAATTTATAATACAAAAACATTATAAACTAAGGAAATATAGTATAAAGTGATGTATACAGCAGTTTTCATGGGGTTGATTAAACGGCCCCAGAATGAAGATGCCCAATTTGTATGGTATGATTACAATATAAAAGTCCTAGGTACATTTTATATACTACTTGTTACTATTTATGAATTTTGTCTTACAAAAGGAACTTGGTGGATATGTTTATTTGTGACAGCAGGCATACCTTCTTTACAATAATAATATAAATATTGTTACGCAGCACCCTGCAGTAGCCTGCGGCTATTATAGGAAACGTATAGATAGAAAAAGAAGTGGAATGTTACTCATCGCCCTACAGTGTGCTGCGATCGTCATATAGGTAAAAGTACAAGTAAAAGAAGATAGAATAGTTCCAGAAATGTCAAGAATATTCTAGATGATAGTTCGAGGATGATCCTGACGTCAGTTTTCAGTTTTATGATAGACGTTACTTGTTAGCACCTTTAGTGGCATCGACGCCGTACGGCGTAATTCTGCTTCCCTAGGTACGTGACACGACGCCGTACGGCGTCAAATATTCAAAAGCATCTGGTTACAGAACGCCGGAAGGCGTCCCAATGTTATTTGGATCGCTACTGTCCCGTATCATGGGAGCACATATACCGTAGTATCATATCAGCTGATTATCCCATCTCAATCGCCCTGACCACCTGTTCTCGGTAGGCTTGGCTTTTGGCGGGCATAACGCCATTGCTAACCAGAGTAGTGTCTGTTTATAAAGAGAGTTTGTTAGCAAAGAGTTTTTTGTCGGAGCAACAGAAAAAGTAATTACCTACATAATATTATTCTTATATGATTTTATAATTAATTTCTTCAGTTAAATATTTGCATAATTCACAATATTAATTTTTTTGAGGTTATAAAATAAATTTGTATTGCCTACAGTTTTATAAATAGCTCAATACTTATTTAAATTCCAGATGGATCGAGATGGCTATACAAACGATCCTTATCAGAGGGAGCAACGCAGGTTGAAACGCTTGTTTGACGAGTTATCTTCTGGATCTGAACTTGAAGAATCATATGAGGATGATGGAGAGTATGGATCGGATCAGGACTATGTACCAAGTGAAAATTCTTCAGAGTCAGATGTGGAGCATGACAAAGCAGATTTGAGCTTTAATTCGGAGGCTGAAAATGACCCTAATAGTGATCAAGACCTTTCTCCAAGTTCATCACCAAGAGTGTTTGTTCAGCAATCTCAAAACAATGGGGACAGCGATTGGGAGGACACAACAACAGATATACCAGATTTGGACTTCGATGAAGCTAGCAACTGTTTGAAAATCACCCTTGATGACAATTCTAGTCCATTTTAGGTATTTGAAAAGCTTTTTGTTACTCCTGAAATACAAGAGTATATTTTACAATTTTCAAATGACTATGGAAATAGCTTAGTCAACATCAACAGACCAAAAACTAGACATTGCAGAGACGCAAATTTCTGCCCCATTTCAATTGATGATATGAAGCAATTTCTTGGCTTATGCTTGCTTCAAGGCCAGATATCTACAAAAAATATGAAACGCTATTTTGCTTATTCTGATCCGTTGTATTATCACCCAGTGTTCAGTTTCACCATGTCTGGAAGGCGTTACCAATAAATCCTCAGAGTTTTCTGCTGTTCTCATCCTGGTTTGAGAACCAAAGACAAAGTTCAACCCCTTCTCGATATGTTAATCGCTTAATTCCAGAGCTTTAACGGTCCAGGCAAGAAACTTTCTCTGGATGAAAGCCTCTTATATTTTAGTGGAAGATTAGGATTCCGAGTGTATACAAAAAACAAGAAAAATAGATATGGCATAAAGTTCTTCGAGGTAACCACTTCAGATGGGTATCTTCTCAACATGAAAATGTAAAGTGGTGCTTAGGCTGCAGCACTTGACAACAGTGTCAGTAAAACCACCACTCTCGTACTAAGACTGCTGAAGCCCAAATATAAAAAATCTAGTAGGTATGCTAGTGTCATCTTTATTGACTTGTTTTCCAAATTTTCCTTTAAATTCTTTTAACTGATTTTAAAATTGACACATGCTGCATCTTTGAAACATCGCATATTATATCCTGAGGCGCTACGCGCCTCAGGATATAAAACTGCTCGGTAAATAATAGCTCACTTCTCACCCTAGGTATATAATGTACTATTTTAGTTAGGAATACTCGTATCTTTTTTATTTATTTCATATTAGAAAAATACGTTTTAAAAGTTATTTCTAATTGTGGATTTCCTATTAATACAAATATCTTCAAATTACGACAACCCGGTATACACATGTATATATAAAGTTGCCTACCCTTGGACATAATTTCTAATTCCTACCCGATCGATATTGCGATCGAAAGAGATAGATGACAGTGTGCAGTTTTTGCCGCGGTTTCTAAGAATCAAGTCAATGATTGCCGAAAAAGCAATTATTACCATATTTTGTGTTTTTGCCTTTTTATATTCAATAATTTAACTTTTTTTCTTTGTCAAATGTGATTTTCTTTGTTAGTAAATTTGTTAAGTAACTAATGCCACTAAGTTTTAACGGTTTTATTACTTTCCAAAAATAAAAAGGGCTCTCCGAACCTACGAAATACATAGCATTCAACACCACCCTTGCTATAGCTATTTACTTTTTATTTGATATATTACGTCAGTATTCATTGAAATATAATTTTCAAAATTACTACGACCACTTTAAACGACCCAAAAAATTATCAAGAGGTCTCCAGTTCAAACCCGGGTGTCCCTTATTTTTTCACAATATTTATAACAATATCATTTAATTTTATTATTTATTAGGATTGTTTTAAGTATTTAACAAAGGGGATATAGCTCAGTGGTAGAGCATTCGACTGCAGATCGAGAGGTCCCCGGTTCAAACCCGGGTGTCCCCTATCTTTTTTTACATTATTTATAAAAATATAATTTAATGTTATTATTTATTAAGATTGTTTTAAGTAATTAAAAAAGGGGATATAGCTCAGTGGTAGAGCATTCGACTGCAGATCGAGAGGTCCCCGGTTCAAACCCGGGTGTCCCCTATTTTTTGCTTTGATTTTAAAATTATTTTGATATATTTTAATTGATTAGATTGCTAGTATTTTTATATAAATTATTTTTTAGAAAATTATTAAGTACTTATCTATTTATTTATTTTAAATTTAGTATGTTGATTATGATTATTGATAAAAAGTACAAACAGTTTACAGAAAATATACGCAAGTACAGTTCCAGGAAGCTATTGTAATTTTATATATAGTGTGTCTGTTTAAGTTGGCTGCATACTTATATAATTTTTTTAATTTTAAATAGTTGATTATTGATAGAAGTTGGAAGGCCATCAGCACAGAGTAGGACGTCAGAAACATACAATTATTATCAAATTCATATATTT